CATCAACTTGACTGTTTTTGAAGCAAAGATGTGTTCAAGACAAGCAGTATCTAAAGGGCTATTGCGGAGTTATACAGCTGCATTTTGCTGAAGAACTGGTGGCATTGGACGGTATTTTTTCTTGCTCTGCATCCAGATCTTCGGTTCCAAAAAACGAGCTGGAAAGTGGTTCCCACCACCTTTAGTTGAGCTGGCTCTTCCCTGTCGAGTTTGCAACTTCATCCCGTGTCGCGGTTTTGGTACCTGATCCTCTACAACTTCAGCCACTGGGACAGTTCGGCGCTCACACTCGGACAATCCAGGCCAGGCATGTGACAGTGAACCTACAAGCCATGACTGTCAATTAGAGAGTGTGAGCCTCGGCACCTTCTGCCAGTGTCACAGTTAGAGAGCCTGAGCCCCTGCAATGTTTGCAGCTGTCATGCAATAGCAGCAGTAGTAGTAGCAGTAGCAGTAGTAGCAGTAGTGGCAGTAGTATTAGCAGTAGTAGTAGCAGTAGTAGTAGTAGTAGTAGCAGCAGCAGCAGCAGTAGTAGTAGTAGTAGCAGTAGTAGTAATAACAAAGGTAGTAGTTGTTGTTGTCGCGAAACTAGTAGCGGCCGTAGCCATAGCCGTAGTAGTACTCGTCGTCGTCGTAGTGGTAGTAGCAGCAGCTGTAAGTAGTAGCTGTAGTAGTCGAAGTGGTAGTAGTGGTGGTGGTAGTAGTAGTCGTCGTCGTCGTCGCTTTTTTGTCACCCACTTGGCACGACGGAGTCAGCACTGCGGGGCCACAAAGGTCACGAGGTAGACATGGAGGCGACAAAAGGAAAGTGAACAAAGCACTAAACCAACCAACCAACTCAAGTAAAGTGTAGTAGCAGAAGAAGAAGCCGCAGCAGCAGCAGTAACAGCAGCAGTAGTAGTAGTAGTAGTAGCAGCAGCAGTACTAGTAGTTTTAGTAGTAGTTTTAGTAGTAGTTTTTTTAGTAGTAGTAGTAGTAGTAGCAGCAGCAGCAGTAGTAGTAGTAGTAGAGTACTACTAGTACCAGTACTAGTATTGGCACATCGCCAGCAGCCACTTCCCGTACCAGTAGCTTGTGCGATGCCAGAGTGCGATATCAGAACAACAAAACTACAAGTTCTGGAACGCCCATCTTTGCCAGGCGGCTAGCAGGATCTGCGCCAAATCGCGGCTTGACCCCGAGATGCCGTTGACGCGGATGATGCGGTCGAAGGGCCTAATCTGAAGGGACCTCAGTGGATGCTGGAAGCAGTCTTGATGAAGACACATGACACATATGACGCTTAGATGCGCAACACTCCCACGCAATCAGCATGTGAGATAGCCCGCTTGGTGGAGTGGTGGCATTACATCTGAAACTTCAAATCCTCCAGCCCATAACTGTGATCTCAAATTCCTGGAGACTTCTAATCCCATCGAAGGGCACATCGCAGGAGGAGTTCCAAGCTCCGGCCAACCCTCCGTCAACTTCCTTCACGATGCAGATGTCCTCGTCCTGTCTCGAGCGGCGATGAAGGGCTTAAGCGAATTTAAGAGAGCAACGAGGCATACAGAGCTAGATAGCCAGATCACACACCTACTGCGCAGAGACTGCAAGGCATGGCCGAGAGCCGTTCTGGCTTGTTGCACTGTAGTTGGGCACAAGGCAAGGGCTGAAAGTCATGAACTTGCTCTTGTACTTGTTGCTGTGGCTGGACCCTACATAGAGAACCTTGAGAAAGCCTGCGCCAGTACGAATCCGACCTAGGCAATGCCTCTCAGGGCTCTGATCCTCGTCTCTGTGAAGTTTCCGGATCACGATCCGAATTGTCACACAAGTTCTGTCAATTGCTGCTGGCGCTGATGATATGATCACCCTGGTGGTAATGATTCAGAATTCAGAAGTACACACTGAAAGTGTTCGGAAAAAATTGAGCTGAAGTGGCAGTCCAAACTCTCGCTCAAGTTCTAAAACTCAGTTGTTCCCAAGTCGCAGACCGCAGAACAACATCGTATCAGGAATCCAACATTAACGCCCAATGAGAGTCCGCCAAATCCAGGACCATGCCGGGCTGCACGTTGCCTCCCTTGATCATGCCTGGACTACAAGAATTCAGAATAGGGGCAGGCCTGGGCGACTGTTACTCTCTCTATGGTCCGTCATTGTTCACTGGCCTTGAATCTCAAGAACCGACGGACTAGTACCCTCGGCGAATGCAGCATGCCTGTATGAACGACGCTCCTGGCATCTTTACGGGGATGCCATGAACGATTGTGACTGCCCTATGCATCCACATGCTTCAAGCCATTACGGCTACAGCACGTTACGCTCTAGAATGGGCAGACAAAACGGCAACGAATCTTTCGAGCTGGCGTGGCCTTATGATGACCCGGTAGACATTGTAGTTGTGGTAGGTAGGCATCACACTCCGACACGTGCCGCTCGGCCCCACCTTTGTGCAGCTGCACCACGAAGGCGTTCTCCGGCAGCACCGGCTGGGCGGGCGCCAGACCTTCCTGAGAACAGGAAGCCATCCCAGAAGCTTTTCTGCAGTACTATGTGCATTTGGACAAGATCAAGCTTCAACTGACGACTGCTTTAGCTTTGGACCCAGCAACATGCAGTCATTAACGTGCTAAGCTGATGCCACTGCAGGCCTTGACCATCGAACCATCAATCACCGTCTCGTTCTGGGATCCCGCCCAAACGCAGCCTCTCTCGCTTAACATGTACTCATAGTGTTCCCAAGAAACTGACGATGGACTGAGAGTGAGCCTAACCTGCTGCTGCTGCTCATCTCGCTTCTGAGGACTATGACGACCACGACTACGACTACTGATGCTTCCCCTTCTGCTGCTGCTACTACTGCTGCTGCTGCTGCTGCTGCTACAACGACGACGACTACTACTACTACTACTGCTGCTGCTGCTGCTGCTACTACTACTACTACGACGACGACGACGACTACTACTACTGCTGCTGCTGCTGCTTCTACTGCCACTAACTGCTACTACGCCGACGACTACCCTACCAATGCTTGAACTTCTTATAAACACTCCTCAAAATTTAGGAACTACTCAGAGCAATACCTCTTCTTGTCTCTACGATGTTGAGACTTGTTCCTGCATATGTCGATGCTCTGTGATAATGGTGACGACAGGCCGGCCATCAGGCGTCATGGTCATAACCCAGATGACGTCTGGGACATATAGTGACGGCAGCGGCAACTATTGCTGTTCCCCTCACCTTGTTCTGATGACAGAAGTGATCGTGACGGTTATAATGAGCTTGCAGCCACTCTTGCAGTTCTCGGGTGCTTGGGGCCCCCACATGCAGCACACGCCATGACCTGCGGGATTGTGCACATGTCGGTATTGAAATGCCAACGCCGAAGTCTGCGAGCACGGAGCTCAGGGCAAACCTTTATAACTCGATCGCCGGCCTGGAAGAGAATACCGACTTTTTTCGGTATGCGCTGGGAAGTTCTGTAGAGGTGTGAGGCACTTTTCTTGCAGCTGAAATGCTGAATGGGCTGCTTCTGCCTACATTGCCAATGCCACGCTGCTATCTTTCTGGCCGAAAGGGTCGGAGCGCCGAAAATACAAACCTGCGCCGCGAGTCTGTTGGGACGACAAGTCTCGAAGCCTCTTGGAAGAGGGCCACACAGTTGAAAAGCGAAAGCTCAGGCACTCCGCTCGAAGCCCGCATCTGGCCTGAAAGAAACCTGACAACAGTAACGAAGTGACGTTGAAGCAGCATGTGCCTTTATGCTCTATAGCACTTAAATGCACTTAACCCACTTTCTGCAAAACTGTCTGGCATCCTTGTTCAGCGGATAATTGCATGGCCCTCGAAATCGCACCGAAGGAGAATGCCCGACAAAAACTTTTTTGTCTCGCTACTACGGAGCTGCGTCCACGTCCGTGAGATACGAGTACGAGCTGTCGCTCCTGAGCACATGCAGTCGGCTTGGGTTAGCGGCCTGACATTGCTGTAGTGGTCAGTTCCTAGTCTTTCCTCGTGCAGCGAGGCAGGGACGAATGCGCTCTGATGAACGACTACGGCGACGACTACGGCTATTTTTGGTACTAATACTTGTACTACCACCACTACGAGTGATGGTACTGGTGCTGTTGCTAGTGCCACGAATGAAACTACTACGACGATATTGCTGCTGCTAGCACTACTAGTACTTCTACGAACAACTGCTGTTGATGCTACATTTGCTACTACCGGTACTGCTACTGCTGCTGCTACGACGGCTACAACTACTGCTGCTACTGCTGCTGCTTACTACTTCTTTTCTTCCGCATGTGCGACGACGACGACTACTTACTACGAATACTGCGAGTACTACTAGTACTACTAGTACTACTAGCACTACTAGTACTACTACGACTACGATTACTACTACGACGACGACTACTACGACGACGGCGACGACTACTACTGGTGCTACTACTACTTCTTCTTCTAACTACTACAACCACTGCTGCTACTACTATTGCTGCTACTACTACTACTACTACTACTAGTAGCCACCCCCCTCCTACCAACC